TGGTTAGAAATATCAAGAGTGATGTTTCTCAGTATCCACCATTGCTGCAAATAGTCAGGAGTCGGAGGGGTTCTAGGGTGGAATCAGAGGTTTATTCGATGATTGATTACTGTCTAATCCTACGTTTGAAGGGCTCTTATATACTAGACACAGTTGTGTTGGAATGCTCTAGAAACTAGGCGCAGCATGGTTATGACCATGACATCATTCTCGAATAAACAGTTGTACCTGTTGCAATTGCTAACGTCTTATAACTCCTTATACATATTCGTTGATGATGCAACTACGGTTACACTTGTTTTTGTAGCGATATCATGACCATTGGAGGAAATAAGTAATTAATTGTAGAAATATAAAAAATATTGTTCCAGTTTTGGCCGGTACTGTAAGCAACCTTTTGACGTTTATCGCTGATTATTCCAAGTTTTAACCTTCCCCCTGTCAAGCCTCACGACGCGTCTTGACCCAGGCTACTTTTTTTCTTTCGCCTATTGTGTCTTCCTCTCGCGACGAGCGTCATGTCGAAAAGTTGTCGGATTGAACCGTGGAAGCAGCATATAAAGAAGGAGAGGTGGAAGGGAACAAAGAACAAGGCTTTTTTTGTTTTTATTGACCTCTGTGGCCACCCATTTATTATTTTTTATTCCCATGGGCAGGATACTCGACCATGGCTCGAATGCTTGTGCCCTGGCTTGGATCATAAACTGATGGCGAGATTTCATCTCAATAAACAGAACTGAGGGCGGCTAGTGTGTATGTGTATTTATTAGATGCCCTAAAAACAGAAATATTTTTACGTTTAAAGTGACTATTAAGGGTTTCTACCTTGTCAATCGTCCAAAAACGCGGGTGCTCTCGTGGCGACTCGCAAGAGTTCCCACGCTGTTATCACATGACCAAAACTTCACTAAACTCACTACTCTTTTTCTGGGGATGGATCTCAATCTCATTTTTTATTTCTCCATTACCTTTTGACACCCCACTCATCTTGAAGCAGCACTCAAAGCACTAATGGCCTCTCTTCTCACTACCGTTGCACGACGTGCGCCCGCCAGACTCGGAAGGGTCGCCTCTGTTGTATCTAACCAGATTCGCCACCACTCTACCTCCCCTCTCGATCGTACGTCTCTTTATCCTCAATATGTTTGTGCACATTCTGCTACGTGCTTTCATATGCTATTTCTAACTCTTTGTCATCTCTTCTCTCTACACATTAGCATCCGTGGGTCTTACTGGTAATATTACTGGCATGACCAATTCGATAAAATGTGGTATATTGTCCACAAGTCTTTTCTTTTATCTACATATCAATTGCTGTTAACTTTACTGCAATCAATTCCGTCTTCATAACAGATGATCAGAAGGAGCTTCAGAGTCTTGCACGAGCTTTTGCCGATAAAGAATTCGCCCCTAAAATGCAGGAGGTACCAGTCAATCTAAAAATCACTGTCATTAGCCTTGTCAGGAATACAATTTCAATTGACAAACCACATTTGTTTTCTGATGCTTTTAGTGGGACGAGAATCAGCACTTCCCTGTTGACGTTCTTCGTAAAGGCGCAGAGCTCGGATTTGGAGGACTTTACACTCGTGAGGACGTTGGAGGTTCAGGACTTGGAAGATTGGACACCTCTGTGGTCTTTGAAGCGCTTTCTACGGGAGATGTCTCTACCACCGCCTATATCACTCTCCATAAGTATGTATCAAGGCTCGACGACTGATTCGTAGGATGTGAGGCTTTAGATGTATGGAAAGCATACTGACCATTTTTTTTCTCATTCTAACTTGTAGCATGTGCTCATGGATGATTGGTATGAAAATCGGTCTACTGAATCACGTTGCACATAAGATATACCCCGAGTTACTCTAATCAAAGATTAAACTATGGTTAAATGCCTGTTCTCATCCCTCAATCGATAATAGACGAATTCGGAAATGAGGAACAGCGCCAAAGGTATCTACCTCAGATTACTAGCATGGAAAAACTTGCTTCTTACTGCTTGACTGAGCCTGGCGCAGGATCTGACGCTGCAGGATTATCTACAACCGCCGTTAAGAAGGGATCTCATTATGTACTTAATGGCAGCAAAGCATTTATCTCTGGAGGTGGTTCATCCGATGTATACTTGGTTATAGCTCGTACTGGAGGCCCTGGACCCAAGGGTGTCTCTTGCTTTATTGTTGAGAAGGGATTCAAGGGGTTAAGCTTTGGAAAGAAGGAGATCAAGTTGGGATGGAACTCACAGCCAACAAGAGCAGTTATTATGGAGAATTGCGAGGTCCCAGTAGAGAACCTGCTTGGAGCTGAGAGTCAAGGCTTTTCAATTGCCATGAAGGGTCTCAACGGTAGTCGCATCAACATTGGTACGGTAATATGATTGGATCTCCTTGTAATTTGAAGTGAGCGACATATTCAAAAAAGTGAATGTTTTATTATCATAGGTTCATGCAGTTTGGGTGCTGCCCAAGCATCAATTGAGGCAGCGATTGAGCACGTTAAAGTTCGCAAGCAGTTTGGTCAAGCCTTGGCTGACTTTCAAAGTATTCAATTCAAGCTCGCAGACATGGCAACAAGTCTTTTGTCTTCCAGACTTATGATTCGCCAAGCAGCTACGATGTTGGACCAAAATCATCCTGATGTGGCTTGTTACTCTGCTATGGCCAAGATTCATGCCACAGATGAGTGCTTCAAGGTTTGCGACGACAGCCTGCAGTTGCATGGAGGATATGGATATTTGAAGGATTACAAGATTAATGTCTACCTCCGAGACTCCCGCGTTCACCGCATTCTTGGAGGTGCAAACGAGGTTATGCGAATGGTTGCCTCCCGAGCATTATTATCAGAGTAGAGTAGAGATCACGATTTCTCACAAATATTCGATATTCGCCATTCGATTCGCATTCGATTCGATTTTTCGAATACGAATAGTGCAGTTATTCCATTCGCCCCGTGTCGAATATAGGACTTATTCGATTCGCAATTATTCGATTCGCATTTTATTCGATTCGCATTTTATTCGATTTGCAACTATTCGATTCGCTTCGATTCGGCCTTATTTGATTTGACATTATTTTCTATTTTTTTAAGATTTACAGTGCTGTCAAAAACTGATTCATCGATTCGCTGATTCTGACATTCTCATTGCATTGGCCATCCCTTTTTCATCAATCCTCAACTGGAGTCTCATCATTCATTCCTCGGATTAGTTACATCATTCTCATCCGCTCGCTCTGGAAACAAATCTCGTCATCGTTGCTCCTCTGTCACGAACCTATGCTTATTCAGAGTCAAGATGACCTTCTTAAGCGTGGCAGGACAGAACAAGGGGGAGGAGATGCAGTTTGGGAAACAGGGTCAAGAAAGCGTAGATATATTGAAGTTGCTAGATACAGTCCACGGAAAAAGTGTTAGCATGTTTTCATAATTTCGACCTTTTTTCTTTGATACTTACATCAATACCGCCTACTGCTACGAGGCTTCACGCGATCAATCTCGTATATTTGTTAAGATTACCTGCCAAGTTACGAGCCAATGGATGCACTCTATCCGGCTAATTGAGGACATGAACATATTGACCCCATTCTAACACTTTTTCGAAATATGACCACCCTCTGATTCTGTTAGCTACTTTTCTGCCATTAATAATTGATATGGCCTCCTTTATTTGCGTGAAGCCTCTTCATGCGCTCGGGCATGCTCTCATATAGCTCGTGAATGAATTTGATATCTATTGTTGTCCATATATCCTGAACACGTGCAAATAGTCAGGAGTCGGAGGGGTTCTAGGGTGGAATCAGCGGTTTATTCGATGATTGATTACTGTCTAATCCTACGTTTGAAGGGCTCTTATATACTAGACACAGTTGTGTTGGAATGCTCTAGAAACTAGGCGCAGCATGGTTATGACCATGACATCATTCTCGAATAAACAGTTGTACCTGTTGCACCTCCCCATCTTAAAAAAAAACGTTACTCCTTTTCACGCTTGGCCTCGAACTCTGCTAGGGCCTCCTTAGCATTGACCAATGACGCCTTTGGCTCCCAGGTTGCCTCTTCCAGTGGGTATCCTTTCCATTGAACGAGCCATTTAGGTGTCCTACCAAATATTTTGTGATCCAGAATGCGTTCTACTTCGAACTCTTCTTCTCCATCAATGAGCTCCGGTGAAGGTCGAGGCGGTATGCGATCGCCGAACTCAGTTGGTGACTCGGTGTAAAGACGGAGCAAATCGGCATTGAACACAGGATGTTGGTGCATATTGGGTGGCAGGTCGATCTTGAATGCGTTGTCATTGACCTGCTCGACAATCCTGTAAGGGCCGATATATCGCGGTTCCAGCTTTCTTGAGGGTCGATTGGCATGTGCTGCGACCGAGAGGTGTTCTGTGCTAAGAAGTACCCTGTCTCCGACGCCGAACGGCACGTTACTGCGGAATTTATCTGCTTGCTGCTTCTGGCGGTCCTGAGCAGCGACGATGGCATCCTGGGCGCGAGCGAGAGCAGCCGACTGAGCAGCCACGAAGTCTGAGACTGATGGCACGTTGGTGGTGGACGGCTTCAAAAGTGATGCAGGCACGAGAGGGTGGTGACCATAATTGAGAAAAAAGGGCGAAAATCCTGTCGTTGGGTTTACCGAATTGTTGTACGCAAACTCGAGCATCGGCAAGAACAGATCCCAGTCCTTTTGGTTATACGAAATGTAAGAGCGCAGCATCTCTTCGAGCGTTCGATTGGCACGTTCCGTTTGGCCGTCCGTCTGAGGGTGATATGCCGTTGACATGTTCAATTTGGTCCCCATCATCTTCATTAATGCCGTCCAGAATTTGCCTGTGAAGCGAGAGTCGCGGTCCGAGACGATGGCGCGCGGCATACCATGCAAGCGGAAGACTTGCTCGAAAAATAATCGGGCGACGTCGGTGGCGGAGTCCGTGGTATGACTAGCACAAAAATGGACCTGCTTGGACAACTTATCTACAATGACCGTGATCGCATCGACTCCACGGCTTGTTTTGGGAAGTGACACGATGAAATCCATGGAAACTGTATCCCATCGCTGGCTCGGTATGTCCAGAGGCTTGAATAGACCGGCAGGGTGCTGAAGCAATGGTTTGTTGCGTTGGCATTGCTCGCATGATCCCACATATGCTTTTGTGTCACGAGCCATTCGTGGCCAGAAAAAGGTTCGTCTCATGTTCTCGTATGTTTTCTCGAAACCCAGGTGGCCAGCAATGGGCGAGTCGTGTGCGTCATGGAGGAGGGTTGCTCGGAGCTTGTTGTCGTTTGGGATGCATAGGCGTGGCTCGCCACCAGCATTGATCCAGAGTAGTCCATCTGCAACAAAGTAGCGATCCGTTGGGCCTGCGCTGGACGACTTGTTGTATACTGGGCCTAAGGTGCAGTCTGAAGGGTAGCTCTCGATCAGGCGTTTCCGTAAGTTGAGGTCCACCTGAACGTCCATGGAATTAAATGCTGTGCCGGCAGGGTTCTCGTCCTTGTGGTCGGGTCTTCTTGAAAGTGCATCGGGAACGATGTTGTCTTTGCCTCGCTTGTATCTGAAGTCGAAATCGTATTCCTGGAGGAGCTCCATCCATCTAGCCTGTCTCCGCGTCAAATTAGGCTGGGTTGGAAAGTGTTGTAGAGTCGCATGATCCGTGTAGACGATGAAGTGCGATCCGTCCAAATAATACCGCCATGTCTTGAGGGCGTGCACCACAGCCAGCAATTCTTGCTCATGTGTCGGATAATTCCGTTCTGCTGGGCACAATTTGCGTGAAGTGAATGCGACGGGTCGAGATTCACCGTTGCTATCCGTCTGAAATAAAACAGCACCGATGGCAAAGCCGGAGGCATCAGTTTCGACAGCTGTGGAGAGGGCTGGGTCGAAGATGCGGAGGACTGGGGCTGTAGTCACAGCGTTTTTCAGAGCGTCGAAGGCATCCTGCTGGGGCTTGTCCCAAGTGAACGGAGTCGTGGAGCCTAGTAACGTGGTGAGAGGGAGAGCAATATCTGCGTAGCGGTCAATGTATTGATGGTAGAAGTTTGTCAAGCCCAGAAACTGCATAACTTGGCGCTGAGTCGAGGGAACTGGCCATTCCCTGATCGCCTTCACGAGTCCAGCATTAGTCTTGAGTCCGTCCTTCGAGATAACATGGCCCAGGAATTCGGTCTCGTCCTGCATGAAAGAGCACTTGGACAACTTGCAATAGAGGCCTGCCTCGCGCAGGAGGGCTAAGACTTGCCGGATGTGCTGCAAGTGTTCCTTCTCGCTGTTAGAGTAAATCAATATGTCGTCCAGATATACTACGACACACTTATCCAAGACAGGGTCTAGCACATTGCGCATCATGGTAGAAAAAGCGGCCGGGGCGTTGGTTAAACCAAATGGAACGACGTTGAATTCATAGTGACCGTATCGTGTCCTGAACGCCGTCTTGTGTTTGTCGTCCGGGTGAACACGCATCTGATGGTATCCTGACAAAAGATCCAGCTTGGTGAAGTGGCGTGCTGTTCTGAAGCGATCAATGAGTTCGTCAATTCGCGGTAGTGGATGTCGATTCTTCCTTGTTATCTTGTTGAGTCCTCTGTAATCGACACACATCCTAAGAGATCCATCCTTCTTCTTTACGAACAGAACAGGCGCGCCGTATGGTGAGGTGCTGGGGGATATGAAGCCCTTTTTCAGGAGATCTGTGAGTTGCTTCTTCAGTTCGTCGAGTTCTGCAATTGATAAACGAATAACCGGGCGAACAGGGGGGTCTGCTGTCGGGTCCGTTTCAATCCTCATACTGTCTCCGCGATCTGGCGGTAGTCCGTCTGGGAGCTCTGGCGGAAACACGTCAGGAAACTCAACCTTGACAATCTGACGAATGGGTTCGGGAAGGCTCTGAGCCATGGTTGCAGTGGGTTGTGGAACTTTGACTTGAGCTAGGAAGACAGCCGCATCGGGTTCGGATGCGACAGTGACAAAATTGAGAGCAGAGAGGGTCGAGCCAGAAGAGGGTGAGGGTGATGCGAACCCACGACATGACCAGAGGATAGGGGTGCCATGGCGTTCGAAGTGGAGATCGTTTGTGCGCCAATTAATATTGGGGTTTACCTCGGTCAACCAAGGCTTGCCAAGGATAAGATCATACTTCTGGAGCGGATATACGATTGCATGAATATTGTCCTTGTAAGCATCCCTTTCTAGAACAGGGTTCGCAGTGTGGTGGGCAAGGGAAGCGGAACCGTTAGGAAGAACAATTGGGATAGGTGTGCTGTCTTGCAAGGGTGTCTTGTTGGTACTACAGAAGGAAGAGCTAATAACGTTCCCTTCGGCCCCTCCATCGATCAGGATTCGTGCGGGGCGGCCATCGACAGCAGCAATAAAAGTAAGGAGGCGGCGAGAATGTTTGTAGGTGGTGTTAAAAGACTGAAGGCGGGTGGCGTTGCGACGGCGGCGTTTGTTG